CTACACTCAAAATTGATGCAATCCTACCCAACCATCAGCTAGATCATGAAAAATAGTCGAGAATCCATACCTCATTCGTCCGATTTGGTGGAGAAATGAGAGAGAACGAAGACTTGGAAAATCTGTCAAAATCTGTCCGAAAACAGCTCGGATTTCTTCAATTTCCGGCCAGTACCGGCGGTTCCAGCGGCTGAAATTGGTCGGGACGGGAAGAGGAAGGAAGCCCGGTCATTTTGGTATCGGCCCCGTCGATTTTGGTGGCCGGACGAACGAACGGCCGGCCAAAACGTGGCCGGCCATGGTGGCTGTGGCGGAAAACCAGCGGGGAGAGGGCGAGACGGGCGGGGAGGGCGCGACGCGCGGGAGAGAGAGAGAGAGAAACGGGGGCAGTTCCGTCTTTTTATCAAAAATCCATTTTCAAAATATTTACGATTTTGCCCGTAACTTCTTCGTTACAGCTCCGATTTAAGCCCACTACGTCTCTACGGACTCATCTCGCCGTACTCTACGCAACGGTATAACCGGAATTCCCAAATTCCTTTCAGATAAGAAAATGACTAAAATACCCTTATCCCACGGGTAAATTCTTAATTTCACTCAAATTAATTAAACATGGGATAAATTTGGGGTCAGGGTGTTACAATTTAGGCTAAAAATGATGGCTTATTAAGTCAATATATACTTCTTAATAAAATCTCATAAAATCACATTTTCTTATTTGATGTGTAAGGAATAAAAGTAGCCAGAAAATGATTATTCTGAAAAATCATTTTTCATACTTAGTCAATATTTTTACATAAAACAGTTTTTCATGTATAATATGAATTCATGAAGGGACCTAAGGTCAATCTACGGGGGGTGTATTCAATTAGGATTGTATACTATTGGTTTTACTTGGATTTTTAATAAACTTGTATAGGCTTTTATTATAGACTTCCATACTTTTGTATGAACTTTTGTTATAGATTCAGATATATTTGCATAGACTTCCCAATACTATTTTCTTTTATCACTCTTTATTCCCAACACTATTTTCTTTAAACTATCTTGACCTAGCCACTAGTCAACCATCCCTCTTTTCTTTTTCTTTTTTTCCAAATTCTTTCTCTACTTGTGTGCACAACAATGAATTTTCCTTTGAACTTTCCATGAGTTGGAAACTTTCATACCTAAACAATGAATTTTCCTTTGAAATTTCCATGAGTTGGAAACTTTCATACCTACACAATGAATTTTCCTTTGAAATTTCCATGAGTTGGAAACTTTCATACCTAAACAATGAATTTTCCTTTGAAATTTCCATGAGTTGGAAACTTTCATACCTA